GCCTTCCTCGTCATCCCATGCGGGAAAAGGAGTGTCAGACTCGTAGTCGACCACCTCAACATCCTCACCGTGGTCACTCGTCATTGATAGCGTGCGCGAAGCGCGACGCTCGTGCTCATCGAGCCTAGCATGTACATACCCTGGTACCACGGACGCACTGTCCGACATCGCACCGCGTGCGGGAGACATAGTTGGGCTCTTCCCGTGCTCGCTGTCAGAACCAGCGAGACTAGGTGACTTCCGTGTCGTGGACACAGGGCTCATTGAGCAAGGAAGTCGTTTTATTCCAAAAAATTAAGTTGCATTGTCTAGCGGACACGGGAGCCTCGTTGAGGCAATAATCGATTGGAACTGTAAATGTTCTCATTCTTCATGGGGAGGGTGTGACGGGGTAACACGTACCCTGGTAACAGGGGGGTGTCACACGAGATGTGCATGGTGTGACCACACCCAAACAAGAATACGGTACGGGGCTAGGTAGCCAGTACTTATGTATGTACCTAGATTTTACTATATATATTTAAGAAACTCTAAACATTTAAAATTAGGCGGCTTTGCCGCAGATAAAAATATATAGAAATCAGTTTTGGATTTTAAATGAAAGAGCTCATAAGTCTTAGGTAAGGCAATAATTACTCTTGGAGTAAGCGGATTGTGATCCGCTAACTCGTACTTGTTCTAAGTGTAGAACAGAAGGTCGATGACTTAAATTATGCTTCCTCAAGCGCTAAGCGACGGCAGCCCCGCTGCAATGGAAATCTATGAAGGTCCGATAAGGAGATGTCCGTGGAACACGTAGGCTGTTCATCGCACGTCAAACAGTAAGACAGTACATCAAGAGATAAAATACCACGTATATACTTGGAGTTAATTAATGTAAATTCTTGAAATGGCAGAGCAAACGAGATGAACAATTCCTGATCGAGGCATACGAACCCAAATTCCGTACGTTCATAAAAATCTGCTTTGATCTTAGCTTCTCCTTTGCACGGTAACGGTAGCACTTGTAGTCGATCCAACACCGAGTCTTGAAAAAAATATAATCTCTACGAGCATGAAACGTGAAATGTCCGATATTCCGTCCCCGAGACACCAATACCAGCTGAGTAAGCTTATGGTTTTGTCGAACCTGACAAGACCAGTACTGGCTGTCGAATAGCTAAATGCGGAAATCACTCGTGTGAAGGTATTCACCAGCTATGAGAGTGCGCTGGTGTGAAAAACAGTCGTCAGCGAGAAAATAATAGTACCCGCTGTGAGAAAGCTGATGTCGGGCGTCCAGGCTTTTGATGGCTAGGACAGGATAATGTTTCTTCTCAAACAAGAAATGTTGAGATTGTCATGAGCACGATCATACCACAGTCAAATTGCAGTGCGCAGCGTTTACAGTAGAAGGTCATGAGAAGCGAGGCTGCCGTAGCTCTATGCTTGAACGATTCTAAGCTAAGGTCACCGACCTTACAGACTTTAGAAGAACCAGTATGAGTGTAGCGTACGCAATCTGCTACTACCAAGTACTAAGAACCATAACCAAAGCAAACGAATACTTCTGTTCAAATTAAAAGGGCATTTAATTGTTTCAGTTGCGGCAGAGCCACCATGATATAAAACCCTATTTTTCCTAATTAACATAGTAGTACCAAATTTATATATTGGTATGAATTACTATTAGCAATCCTGCCACGTGGTGGCTTCTTGTTACGGTGTAGCAACACAACTGTGTGATCACACCTATATACGGTCACATCATCTTGTGCGACCCGCCCTTTCATACAAGGGTTCGCGTAGCCCCGTTACATCATGCACAAAAAAGGGCAATAAAGTGCAATAACTCTGCGAAAAGTCGTTCTCAGCATAGGAAGATTACTAGCAACATATGTCGCCAGTGATAGCCACTCCAATCCATGTGTATCGGGTGCTTTCAACATTTCTGTCCATCCGTCAAGTGGGGTGAAAGCTAGCGGAACATTTGAAGGTTGTTATCGCCGCAACAGTGTGCGAATCTCTGCCTGAGGCAATAACGATTACCATCTTCAATAAGAGCCTACAAATGAGTGCAACTAATTTTTTATGACTTCCGCGTCCATCTTACATCATTAAAGAAAGCAGTGAGGTTCATCTTTTATGGGAAGTATTACTCTCGTTTTACAAGGTCAGGATGGGAAGCTGGGAATGTAAGCTCTATAAGCGCGCCAAAGTCAGCCATGCTGAAGAAGAAGAGAGAAATCTCGGCAGCCTGGCAGACTCGAAATCATTGATGGATACTAAAGACTGCCTTTGCCCTCGGTTAAGATTTACGAAAGGCAAGGCCCCTACTGGAAGACGTTAATGACAAACCGCTCGCGGGAGACGCCGAATCCCAATAGTCAGCTTTGTGGCTGTTATGATTGCTGAATTTGTTTTACATCGTAAAGGTCGAGATCAACAGGACCAAGACAAAAAAGAAATGATTCTTGCTTACAGAGAAAGGACACACGCTTCCGATTTGTCGGCTGTCAACCTTGACATCCCGGTCTTAAAAGCCATTATAAGTACTATTAGATCAAATCGCCTTGCAATGTCTTCGATGGGCAATGGTCAATAATGGTAGACAGTACGCGGGGCATTAATGATGCTGAGTATAGAACGACATCCATGTGTCTAGGTTAAGAAGCCTTTGTCAGCTTGCACGATCTGGACTAGATATATACGAGCCCATCAAGGATATGGCGTGACTTGACCTCTTAGAATTACAATTGTTTGGTATGGATAACCGCATTCGTGATCTGCGCTACTATGAGCGAATCGGTGGTTATCAAAATCATGCATGTGAACAATAAAGTACGACGGTTGAACATCGATGGTACCTAAGAAAGCCCCTATCCTCTCATGTACGCATTTGGTGGGTCCAAAATCTCCTGTGGCATGTAGGAGAAGTTCTCAGTGGCGACGGCTTGAGGTTGCAACAGATTTGAAACAGGAGAATGGGGTTGTTAAAACAAAAAGCAAAGATATTGAATATTTTCTTGCCCGAATCTCGGAAGGCAGAAGCAGCAGTGAGCTTTGGTCTTCAGGATGTAATTATGATGATACTGGTAACACTGACGGTACGCCGCTGTTTCCCGGGTTGATTGGTTAGAGTCATGCGGCTGTAGCAGAAAGGCCAAAGTCTGATGTCCCTTACGACATTCCATTTACAGCTGTGTAACCGTACTTATCAATCTGCGCAACCTTGCTGCGCGCTAACGTGCGAAGCAGCAATGTCAACAGGTTTGTAGAGACTGTAGAATAAAGTAACCGATGTAGGCCTGTAGGATGCATCTTTCCTTCAACTTCTCCATACAGAAGCTTCGGTTAAGCGTGGAGAGTAATCCCTGGAAGGCGACGCATGTCGGGTATGGCACACAGTTGGTACAGTTTTAACCAGAAGAGGGGCTGTAAATATTTTTTTTAATGGATATATCGAAGGGTAGGTACTCCATTGCGGTATTACCCATCGGATTCGTGAGCGCGATAAATTTGACATGGTCGTGTAACCGGTCGTCGATGGTTTTTACAAGGGTAATTGTATAGACTGTTCCCGTTGAAATGACCAAAGTGGGTTTGATGATAGAATGGGAAAATTCACTTGGAGGTCATGCTTATAATAGGTTATAGCAGCCATCATTCCTTATCAAACGTCGTTTTTAAAAGAGTCGTGCTACAGTATAGTGTGGTTGCTTCCACCTCGTTCAGTTCTCTTGACCTAGTCAATCGGTACGTAGAGCTGCTTCTGAAAGACAGAGACATCCTTATCGCTGCGATAATTTCTTCGAACGGTATGCTGAGGGAGTGGCTGGTTATGTATCAGGTTCTATGTTAAAAACCAGCGACGCCCTATCCTCTGGTGTCGATGCACCATTTTTGCAAATTTTAATCCATAGCCTTGTTGTGCATGGAATTCGCAATGTTAACATCCAATTCATACACTTGATAGATGTGCTCAGAGGTAAAACCCGAACACATTGTATGCCAATACAGACAGGTTTGCCTTTTGCCCAATAAAACCCCATTCCCACGATGATTTACTGGATGGCATGACTCGTGGGCAAATTCCGCAACGATAAACTGTTAGAATTTCTAGATGCGTTTGTCGGGCGCCGCAGATACGATGCACAAAGTATCACAACACCACACAGTAAATGTTGCAATGATAATATATTTCCTTCTTATAATGTATCCTAATCCCATGGCCTGGGATCTGCCATCCGCACCCCGTATCATGACCGTTGAGCCGTTACTGGCATACCGATAACGCTGATACCAGATAACTAAATCATGGCTGACAAGTCATGAGCTGGAGGATGAGCGGGGTCATCTCCAACATAAACGTTATTGTAGCGTGGCCCGCGCCACTATTCCCAAAGAATTCAGGAAGTGGGTTGGCCTAATTAACTGGCTGCACTTGTTGCACTAGCTTAAGGCGAAATACGCTGACATAGCACATCCCTTTTCCAATGTCCTTGAAAAGCACGCTAAGTGGTATTAGAGGTGCGACAAAAATGCTGGCCTTCCAGGCTATAAATGAATCCTAATGTTTGCTTCGATTACTAGTCCTTTTTGAATAAAAAATTATCATTTCAAGCAGTGGTCGTTCGTCAAAGACTATGCATCACAACATTCAGTTGATAATAGTTCATTGCGTTTAATTCCTACATAACTAAATGCGAACAAAAAAGTTTTCACTTTGTAGACAAGGCACTGTTTGCTCAAAGTTTTTTTAGCACGTTCATGCCATACCTGCTTGGCCCAAAGCTAGTCGCGATCTAATAAGATTTAGCGGCGTTAAACAAAGCGACAACATCACTTAATTTCCCGCAAAAAATGGCAAGATGGCCGTTATTCATCTTCGCCCACGATATTTCCGAGGTAAAATATCACACAGAAAACTGTGCGCTATGCGTGTGCGCAGATGATCCCAATGCCCTGAGTAAGCGTTTATATCCGTTTTGTGTTGTGTTTTTTCATTCTCGTCATCATATTCAAGGGTGAGGCTGACTAAGACTTCCATTCAGGTGATTGTCGCATGAAGATCAAAACCATCGATGTCCCTTTCGATGGCGAAAACTCATTGAATTGAACATGCATTATTGTGTCACCTCAATTATTTAGATATTGGAACACTGCATCATGCATCGAAGAACAGTGCTCCAAAAGTGTAAGGTGGGGCCAAATTTGTCGCTGGCGATTCGAACTGTCAGTTCTTGTGCACGGATTTTACACTTTAATGCTTCTGCCGCGAGCCATGACTCAAGAATGATCACGTGTGGTTCTCATGTCGTTTGCACCTAAAGACCACCCTGGTTCTGAAACATAACACATAACAACGCGGTTCGAAGATTGTATTCGCCGATATATATAAGACTTCGATCCTGATTCGTAAACGCCGGGGCAAATTTTCGTAACCCTCGCTGGCTGTAATTGCATCAAAGTAAGTACTGTAATCTGATGTCTTATACCTGACAGTATCGAATTAATAGTATCAATTACAATATCTTACATATTGATCAAATGTCAAATAGTTATTTAACGCAGATGTAATTTTTTACAAGCACAAAAGTATCGGTATTTGTGAGAGATCCGTGGTGCTAGCCGCTCATCAGGCGACAAACAGATTCTATTATAAGATATAGTAAAACTCAAAGATTTAGTATAAGCCTAAGAAACTGTTTTGAACACATGTCCTCTGGAGATCGCATAGCTAACAAAATCTTGGGTTGCTCCTGGTAGGAGCGCACAAATGCATTGTTGTGCATTTGTTACTGCAGTCTTCATGAGCCAATGCTTTTTTTGTACAAAATGTGCGGCATCCTTGTTGCAATAGGACTCTCCAAAAGACATGTCGATGGTTCACGTTGGTTGACCACACGATAACCAATACAGTAACTATAGATGAATAAACGTACATATTTGATATCCATTTATATAGCCTTGATATTAGATGTAAGACACTCATGAATCGAAAAAACATCATGTTAATTTATTAGCAATGCTACTCTCAGTTCTGCTCCTGGTTGGAGTGTATTAAAAATCGTTTGTGGTTGGTGCGGACGCTTTGAGTCAAAGCTCTCTTTTGGTAATGAACGAACTATATTCACCGCGAGTATAAATCATAAATGTTTGAGAACCTGTTCTGGGAAGAACAAGACCAGCTGAATAAGCTTTTTTCATCCCTTGGTTCCGACGGGATCAGAGGCGGTTAAAGGATTATTTCGGGTTTCCAAACATTTTTATTGTTTTAGCGGGGCTACCCCAGAAATGCTCTGACCGGACACTGCTTGATAGTTGCTGAGCAGCTCCGCAATACTTGCAGGTGTCTGCCACAAAAGCCGTGCCATGCGTTTTCACTTCGTTTTCGGGTGGATTAAACGGGAAAGTCGGCATCCGACGAGTATATAACCTGATCTCCAAGCAGTGTATCCGTTGAATGGAAAATAATGCTGGCTGTTGTAATACTTAGAGAGTATTACCGGTGAAGCAGTCAGACATTGTAAACTGGTTTTTCGTGAGCCAGGGTCGGCTCGAATAGACTTTAATGGGTAACACAGCTCTCCCATGCCATGCCAGAAGAGTTAAAAGATGTATGTAAGTTTCAAGAAGAAGTACCAGACTGTGAAGGTGCAAAAATGACTCAATATTGTCATGATGTGGCGGTACTGCTGATTCCACCCTACCGTGTGACGAGATCATTGCGCGAAGCAGTGAACTTTTACTGATATGTGTCAAAAAAATAATCAATTCGTGAGTAGAGTGACTGGGGAATTTGTACGAGTGGAAGGTCTTCTCTCACTACCCCTCCTGGAGAGCTGACGGAAATATCTTTCGGAGATTTGCTAAAGGAACTTGAAGACCGTGATGTCACAAAATAGTAAAGTCGGTACGAAAGGAGAAGCTGAGCTCATCATTCGTCATATATCAATCAATCATTGAAAATAATCACCAAGTACTGCGTTTGAGGAGTTAGAAATTTAAGTTCATGAAACCAAGGAGCTCTTTGATCCTTTGCTGAGGGAATATCACGACGTGTAAAGAATGACCCACCCTTCGTGTCACGCCGGAAAAGAGAGTGCGTCGTCAAGTCGACTTTGGTCTCGGAACTAAATATTGCGTAACACGGCAAATATCCTTATCAAGAAACAGCGAGGTGTATTTCGATCTTTCTTGTGTAAAGCACGGAACGAGTATTGTAAATGAGAATAAATCTTCCTTCTCAAAGCCAGCTTTTCAGTGTAGAAGCTATTAATAAGTAGTCTATTCTGCATCATGATAATTGGAAAAGTGTGGAGATGACTCCGGCGCAAGCGCCAATTGTTACAAAGTATGTGTTACCCGACGACATTGGTGGCTGCAATTTATTTAGTACTTTGTACCTTGATAATGGAATGTATTAATTGCTGACGAGAGATAGCGCGCCCGGATTACATTGTGGAGATAACTTTGGACAGAAAAATTATAAGAGTGGCTGCTTATATCACAGGAATTACCAAAGGCACCGTGACGTCCTTTCATCTAATGAGGCATCATCTCACGCCACACAGTGCCTGTACACAAACCAATTAAAGACGATATAATGTTCATCTCGTTCAGAGCATGAGTAATCGGATGTAACGAATCTTATTAGACAATCGCGATCAGCGCTCGAGCGTATTCAATCCTATACACTTTCTGTCAAAAAAAAACGAATGTGGCTTTGATGTGGACAAAGTTGATATCATTGAGAAGCACGGTATGCTGGTAGAATATTCAATTTTGAAGGTTATCGTAAATTGGTCAGTATCTTGCTTCATAAGCAAAAGAGGAAGTGACTCCGACTGGCCATTGACTTGTGCACTGCTGTGCAAACTATGTCAACTTGGTCGAACATTGGTCGTCATGACCTTCTGTCATAGCGCAGCTTTGACGGGGTTAATAATTTACACCTCCTAATACAAGACAACGTTGACCTTTGTCTAAAATATGTAGCTGCAACGTGGATGTTTTAAACCATGCATAAAGAAATAATTGACTCGAAGGGTCAGCGTCACAATACATAAACGACGGATTGTATTCTTATACCAGAAGTGAAACCAAAACCCTTTGAGGTCATATGTTACGTGTTTGCTCTTTTTTATATGTTAAGAGTATCATACACATATAGTTATGTTGAATTTGAAGCATATATCTGTTTGATGATCTAACCCATCACGATTGAATACAACGTGATGTGGCCGAGAAAGGGACACTACGCAAAGACTCACCTTTAATATTGATTCTCACCATGTTCATTAGTATTACTGGAGCTTTGCATTATATAAATATCCAACGTGTCTGAAGGGCCTATCCGTTAATGTATCCCAGCAGCTTCATAAGTATTGGTACTCTGGCACATGTAAGCTTTCAAGTCAAGTGCAATGCGTAAGTACACCACAACACGGTAGAAATCTCTAGCCCTTTCCCATCAAGATGTGGAGATATTTGGAGCTCGCAATAACTATGTCCTCTTACACATTGCGCAAAAGTAAACGCTCACTGAATACTCATTGGATTGCACTAGCACATCACTAAGCGTTTTTAACTGGCGTACCCGCATAGCGCTCACATGTGACTCAATAGGCCACTGAAAAAGGCGCGGTTCTTTCGACTGATGAGGTAAAGGCCATTCTTGATGAGGAGGCCAAGGTTTGTCCGATAACGACAGCCGTAATGCTTCTCTAAGTTCTTGCCCGACATTGTCGCTCTCACTTGGTGGCATACGGTAGAGCAATCACTGAAAAAATACTGTCTTCTTTATTTCAGCTTGAATAAACCCCCGTGCACAACAAACACCTCACGAAGATATCCTGCGCGTCCTTTGTGATCTGGACCTGGCTCAGCAAATCAAAGCTATCCGTAAGTGCATGATTTGCGAAGAGTCCAACAGATGTCACAAGCCGTGAATATTAATTTGATTTAACAATACTTGCTCGCAGCCGATGCGGTATGTCGCTGCTGCTTAGTCTAGCAAGCTTGTGCGATCCAAATTGCAGCGTCATTTTGGTATCGTAGTTTACGTTGTAGAGCCTGGTTCTGTCTCCTCATGGACGTCTTCTACTGTTCCCGGACATTGCTTGTATCGAGATGTGTAAGGACTCGCTGGGTTTCGCCGCGAATGGCATCCACAACTTCGGAGTAATCCAGGTGGTTCTCTGGGAAGCGCCAGTAGCCGTATTTGTGAGAATGAGTCACTGTACGTGCTAAGTGACTACCTGAGCTCTTGAACTCAAATTACTTGAAGTTGTCCTACAGCGTCTTCCTACAGCAAAGCGTAGTCAATCAGTTCTGGCGCGACTAAGGGCCACTGTAAATACGTTCATCTAGGTATGGATGCGCCAGGCATTAAAAACACCCGATTGACGTAGCCAACTCATACAGGCACTGCGTCCAGGGCGACACATAAGCGTGGTTGGAAGAACCAAGACTGGAGTTGGGGGGAAAATTTAAGTCACCAAGAACGATGTGTGTGGCATTATCGTCGAAGCGATTCAATGGATGATGGTTGTAGAAAACGGCTTTGTCATTATCGTCCACTAGCGAGTATATGTTCCGAGTATGCACGGGAGCATTTGCGACTATCAATTGAACGACACAGACCCAACACAGCCAGTTCTCAAAGATTGGTAGAAACCTGGAAATTCAGGGTGTATTACATTTATCACACCGCCAGATCGGTGTAGTGTCTATGAAGCACTGACCGCGCCAGGGTCAATGAGGAGTAGCTTGTGTTTAAAGCAGGATTGAAGGTTGAATTTGAAATCTGCTGCAGCGTATTGCACGTGTATTGGGCAAGAAATCCATATATCCTTACGCATCTAAATTTTTACAATGAAGTATACGTCAGATAGGAAATCGTGCGCTCGCTTTGCAAAGTGTAAAGCATGACGTGGATGTCGAGGCAAAATGTCACATCATCTCATATTCTTGTGTTAGCAGCCTTACTCAACTCCATGACCCGGCATATCGATATGTAAACGTGAAACAAGACCAGACGCACTCGCTAGTGGGAAGAGCACTATGCTGGGTGAACCTCCCTTTCTCCAAAGGCGATAAAGATCAAGAGAGTGCTGAGGCATAACGCCAACGTTGCCAAGGCGATATGGGTGAAGTGTAACGCATCATCATAGAAAGGGTGTTGATTCTACTTCCGCGAATATTTGTAGCGGCCATAGCAAACCCTACATCACTTAATCTACAAGTAGGCCATCACTTGTTATCAGACAGATCTACAAAAAGGGCACCTTCCCATAACTGCCCCGCAGCGACTCTCTAGTTGGTGGTGGCTCGACGAATTTCTCCAGTGGTCTCGGCGTGCGGTTTATACTGAGATTTTAAAATGCGCTCTATGGGCATCGCGATCAAATGGAGTACCCGAATTAGCTTAGAGTGTATTGCTGCCATCAAGTAGAAGATTGCTCAGATAGAAAAGCTTGTGTATTGAGAGTTGACTTCAACCTCAACAAAGCGCTTCATATCTGTAATCTCGAAGGGTCGTTATATAAAAAAAGCAAAACCCAGGATGTACTTGCATCCTCCTTGAAATTATTGACAATAAAGCCCGACGTTTTTCTGGCTATGACTGTATATGGTTCATGTTGCGAGATCGTTACTTCGTCTCGTAGACTGCAAGCACTGCATATGCAAGAGGGCTAAGAGCGCTCGATAAATCTCGCGCTTTGCCCGCCCCTTTTACGTTTGCATATCCTTACTCTCAGCAATAGCACCAAGCAATCGAACACTAATTCTTGATGTCATCGAACTAAACTCCTTGTTTGTGCTACAAAGTCTGTATCTATTTCCGACCGAGAGTTATTGACATGTTTGTAAGATCGGACTCGCGATATGAAAGGACCTGACCCTTCACTTGTATGCTCTTTTCGATTGTATACTTGTATCAGGGCACACTGAAGCATACTTCAATTGTGGTCATTTAATTGGTCACGTTTAGAACAATCCGAGCGCCTCTTTAATTTTGATGAATACCAAATCAAAGCAGTAATTTACTCTTCGGCAATCTTTTTAATTTGAGTATTTTGATAAATATTTGGTCCATTAATTGATCAAAACTTAGTTAGTCTTTTACTGTGCCAAAGGTATTGATTTGATTTAAAGCCTGCAACAACTCTTGTGATGAATAGCTCGATAACAACTCAGATTCTCATTTGTAAGTATGAAAGGCCAGTGCGAACCAAAAACATTGAGAATATAGAAAACAAATTGCCAGCAAGCAGTGACAAATATATTTTCTCAGGAACACAAATATATGTATTCACCGAATCAACCAGTTGCCTTTGGCAAGAAAAGTCATCTCAATAAGCTTTGAACAATCCGGTTTGCTTTGTTATAATATGATGCAAAACACTCGCGAGGCGTTCTCGATCCTCACAAGCACCGAGCAAAATCTCTGCACCAAAATTTAGATTAGAAATTTGAAAATAATATTATGGAGCCCTAATAATTTGGGCGATTATCGAATCTCGGAGATGTACAAATATTTCAGCGGAACACTGTCCTACCTGATTTGCCACAAACCGCTGTTAATTTATCCAGAGATAAGACTATGTGATAAATCAATTATGAGTCATCCAAGAGTTTTGTGATAGAGGTGGCTCAATTTTCAATAGTTTCAAAATATAATGGACTAGCACCATATCCCATGTTGTGTGAACAACATGCATGTGTGTTTTAAGCACTAACTATAGACACTGTATAGTTTATATACCTCAACACTGTTATAGGAGGAACTTTTTACATTAGGGAGGTTAAAGACGATTGACCATAAAAATGTCAGCTCATTCTCCCCCTTTCGGTAAATTAATGGCTCACAGGAAGCGAGCAACACGCAGTGGAACGTGAAGCGTGTCAACCGTTTTAAGGTTCCAGAGTTAGTGTGTGTACACGTACGGGCAACCCCCGTTACACTTGGCGGTGGATCCGTCACCCCCATCATAAGTGGGGGTAACCCCGTCGGTACACATGAAACGTACTGTGGAAACCAAAGCAAAAGCTTATAGATGAAAATCTTACATTTTGGCAGCGAGAAATGGACATCGCTACCACGATAGCTCAAGTTCGTCATGAAAGTAGCCATGAAGCCCTCGTCAATATGTATTTGGATGGTCATGCGAAGGATTGGACGATGATATGGGAAGTCGTCCACCCCTGCTACTTTGCCACATAGAAAGTGTTGAAGATAGCCATGAAATCAATGGTTTTCTAAGCGAATGTGGTATCTCGACAGTGGTCGAAGTTGCTATGCCGTCAAAACAATACGACAATGTACAGAAGCTCCATTAGCTTCGTGCCAATATGACAAGCGAACTACTGCCAGAGGCAGTGATGGTCACAGTGTTTATAAAGGGTCTTACTTATGGTTCTCCTAAGACGGAAGTTTATGACCAGAGTCCGACGACTCTAAAAGATGCAATTATGATCGCATTGCGTGGGGACTACTGCCGACGTCAATCACGTAGTCAATCGACCAATCCGATAAAAGCAGTGACTGCTACTACGAGAAATCCAGAAACTATTAATCCTAGTGTGGCAGCTGTTCATATACAGTACATTTGCTATAATGGATGGCAACAATCTGTTCACAGCCGCCGTTATTGTCCACGTAAGAGACGAACGTATCAATACGATTTTCCTTGTATCAGTTTCGAGCCACGTGGTACAAATATCACGAGGCGTTCTGGAAACGCCGATATGCAGTATTGTGGAGGTAGAATCACTCACGAGGGTTTATATCTAGAAGGATCGCTGCCGTTCGTTAACGACATGAGTCGAAATGGTTTCCTCGTGGTAACAGCATGTGTGAAGGATGCACTAAATAGTGTATTTATCTCAATGAAGTTGGCCACTAGTGCGGTGGCCACCGCAAATTCAATTATGGCTGATCTTCAACTTAAGTTTGGAGACTGCAACTCGAAGATAGTATTTACCGTCCTCAAAATGGATGAACGGTGTGGCCTGAATTTAGATACAGCGTTGCTTTGAAAAGCATAAGTCATGGATTTATCGGCGATCGAAACTTATTGAGAGATGCTCTCCTGGCGTAGGTGGCACTTTTGGGAGTAATGAAACCACATTCACCATGCACTGGAAGAAGCCTTCAAGCGCTCGGCAGTCGTATGCTGCTGGAAATAATCCACAGTTCAATGGTATATGCAGCGGGGCTGTCATAACTTTTTTGCTAAGAGGTAGCTGGGCTCAGGTCGGTGTACCAGTAGGAGAGTAGTGGATCGCAATCAACTTACTCCAAAAGCAACTACAACCTCAACTCAAGGCTATTTGACTCTTCCGTTTAAAATGTGAATGGTAATTTTTTAGGGGGGTCTGCGGCAAAGCCGCCCATAACTTAATTTATAATGTTCCTGTCTATATCAAGAAACCTGATTTTACTGGCTGATCCAGCCTCGTACTGACTTTTTGTTCGATTGTAACCACATTATTGTGAAATTACACCCTCTTGTGTGACCAACACCCTTCATACCAATTGCACACTCCCCACTTAAGATGGTGAGCATCTACACTTGCACATTCAGCTGTCGCCTCGAACAAGGCTCGCGTGTCTAAGACACCACAACATCATCAGTCCCATTTTTCAAGAATTATCTGCTCAATGAGCCCTGTGTCGAGGACACAGAAGACACCCAGCCTGGCTGGTTCAGAGAACGCCTTCAGGCTGAGCTCTTCTTCGTCTTCTGCATGCAGACCACTACGAGTTTCGAGTCGCATCCCTCGGACTCTGGGAGTCCGATGATGAACCCATGCTGACCGAATCCCAACACTCTTCTGGAATTGTGATCGATTGCATCATTCCTTGCTTTTTCTGGCTCGAGGTCTTGTACTGCATGCACGTCTTGCACGTTCGCACAAACCTTTTGATGTCTTCAAGCATGATCTTCCACCAAAAACACATCTTGACACCGTTTGTGGTTCGCTCGATGCTTAGGTGCGCTGCTGTCGGTGCGTCGTGATGGTTGTTCAGTATTGCCAGCTTTAGCTCTCGACTTTCGGGCACACACAGCTGCTTCACCTGGTTCTCCGATATGCGGAAAGTCAGTCCATCTTCCGCTGTGAAGTTGGTCGTGTCTCCTCTGCCTTCCATTATCTTGGTTTAGAACTCGTACTCCTTGTATGCTCGCTTAAACTTCTCTCTCGTGCTCTTCTCCAGCTCTGTGTGAAGGTTGTTTGCCTCGAACACCATTCTCTTCTCTCCTTTGTTTTCTTCGTATCCTTCATACTTTGGTAGGTTCTGTATTCCATATATCAAGCTCATGTCTCTCCTCGACACCGAGTTGAGTGTGTTTTTGAACTTTTCCATCTGGATGTATGCCAAATTGATTTCTTGTCTCAACAAGGCATCTGCGACTACATTCTCCTTGCCAGGTCGATGAATCAACTCAAAGTCGTACTCTGCAAAGAAGTCTAGCCATCTCGCCAGTCTTCCCGACACTTGCGGTCTTGACTTCAGCCACTTGCACGCTGAATTGTCCGTGAACACAACAAACTTGGTTCCATGCAGGTATAGTCTCCATTTTGCTATACACAACTTGATGGCGTACAGCTCTTGGTCACGCGCTGGCCATCTCCGTTCTGTGTCGCTCAGCTTTCTGTCGTAGAGCGCAATCGGTAATTCTTTTCCTTCGAACTCTTGCGACAGCACTCCTCCCACGCTAGTTCCAAACGCATCCGTCAAAACCATAAACGTTTTTTTTTAAATTGGGAGTCGCAGCACTAGTTCCTGTTGCAACGCAAGTTTGATCCTATGAAACGCGTGTTGATGGTGATCCCTTCAGTTCCATTCCTTGCTCGACTTGAGTAACTCGCTGATAGGCAACATAATATCTGCGTAGGACGGGATGAGCCGTCGAATATAGCTCGCGAGTCCCAAGAACCTCTGCAATTCCTTTGTACTCGTCGGTGCCGGCCACGCTTGGATTGTCTGCACCTTCTTCAAATCCATGTGGACACCTTTGCTGCTGACGATGTGACCCAGGAAATTGATCTCGCACTGTCCGAACTAACACTTTTCGAGATTCGCATACAGCTCGTTCTCTCACAGCAACTCGAACACTGCTCTTAAATGCTCGCAATGCAGCCCCCCTGTCCGACTGAACCCGTAAATGAATAGATAGATCTCATCAGTCGGCTCCATGTGCTTGGCATTTCAGCAAGCCCCATGGGTGCCACGCTCCAGTGGTATATTTCCGGAAAGGCATAGAATACAGTGTACTTTCTCGAGCTCTCGGAGATCCGCATTTGATGGTAACCCTTTTGCAAGTCGATTGTCGAGAGCGGCGAACATTCCTGCATCTGGTCAAACAGCTCGTTGATCATCGGTAGCGGGATCTTTGGTATCTCGCTAGGACCCATCGAATCGAAACATTCGGGCCTCCTGATTGCAGCCAATCTGCTCGCGAAGGAAAACTGTTTGTCGCAAAAACCTTTTGGGCACGCCAAACATATTAGATACCCACGGCGACTCGGACTACTCGATCCACTTCTTCATCGGCAGACCGTCCACGAACTTTTGCAGTGTCTATCGCTCGACGTGCCGCAGTCGAAACGGTTGTCGATTGCTCGGCTTTGCTCCCGGCTTCAGCTTGATCTCGATCTCCACTTTCCTCTTTGGCGATAACTTGTCTGGCAAATGCTCTGGAAAGACATCCTGGAATTCCTCTAGCAGCTCCTTGATCTCTGGCATCGCTTTGATTCCTTTTCCTCTCTCGTCCGCATCGTTTCCCATTCGGACTCTAGCATGGAAAACCTCAGCATACTCTTGTTGTCTCAGCTTTCGTCGGAACTCGTTTTCATTCCGCCTCTTGGCACTCCGGTGTCTGTGAATGTCACGTGCTGTGTCCTCCAGTCGATTGCAGGGTTGTAACTTGCCAACCACGGGTTTCCCAACAAGACAACGTGTGTCCCTAAGAGTTCCCACTCTAGCATCAGTTCGCTATCGAAAATCTGGCCATCCATCTCCAGAGTTGGTTGAACCAACTGGACAATTTTGGACTCCGTTTCTGTGCCATCAAATCGCTTGGCAGTGGCCGAAATCGTTTTCTCGATCTTGACACTCAGTTTTGGACAAATGAGATTTGAAGTGGATCCGGAATCGATCTATATTTAGACTCGCTTTCCGTCACACAAACCCTTTTTTACAATCAGCTCGTCGGCACTTATTCTCGTCAACACTACTTCTGACTGGTTGATCCGCATGCTGGTTGTTTGTGCCTTGCTCAGCTGGAAGGAATTGGTTTCTCCATTGTTTTCATTCATTTCCACGTGATGTGCTATCACCATATTCCTTCTGTTCTGTATTCCTCTGCTATTCCTTCCAAAGTTCTTGCTGTGATCTTTTCCATGATCTCTTTCGTGATCTCTTCCCGTGTTCTGGTAACAATGTCGCGGTTTGTGACCAGGTTTCTTGCATGTGAAACACATATTCTGCAAGTAGCATTGTTTCTTTTCGATTATCGCATAACAAATCCCCATGTCTTGACTGCTATCGTCGCTCAATGCACCAAGGTGAATCCGATACATTCTCGGAGGCTTCTTGTGCCCCTCTCGACCTCCATGCTGTGGAAGTAGGCATCTTCGTACGCCTTCGCAGCGGCTATGATTTCTTCCAAATTAGTGCACCTTGTGAACTGCACCATCTTCCGAGTCTGGTTCTTCAAATCCTTAATAAACACATCTTGTTGATCCAACTCGCTCGTTTTTTGGATCTGCGCCATGATCGTCCAATACTTCAGAACGTACTTGTCGAAGTTCATCCGTTGCGCGTCCTTCGCCAACTGTCGCAACTGCCCTCGCAGGTGATTCTGGTATCCTCTTGGCACAGTGTGAGCATAAAATGCTGCTTCCATTTTCTCGAGACTCCTCGCCTCTCTTCCGCTCGCACACATATCATGGTGCCAAGCCAATGCGCCTTCTCTCAAGTTGCCCATGGCCATCGCCACGATCCTTTGTTGGTTCTCTTCCGCTTACTCGCCGATCAGCTTTGCACGCAGATAGTTCTTCACTTGGTACAGGAACGTGTGCACTCCTTCCATCGGTTTTCCCGAAAACTGTAGCGTGGACAATCCTTCCGCTCTGACATCCCCTGAAACAATCACCTAGGGTGCTCTTCCTCTCTCCTGTGCAGCGCTCTCCTTGTGGACGACTTCACTCTTCACGCATCGAATGTCTTCATTCCACTGACTCAGAATCACGCTTGCTTGATGTTCCCTGAGCTCTACTTGACTCGCATGCGCTCTCATAATCGCGTCTTGCATGCCTTCCATCTGCCGCATCATATCTTCTTGCTGCTTCCCCATCGATCTCTCCATCGACTTATACTGTTGACTCAGCGCCTGCTGCCAACTTGTCGTCATTTGCCCCATCGCGTTCGCCATGCATCTCATCAGGTCCTCTGCACTCATGGTCGTTGATCACTGGAAACTCGGTTGTTCTCTCTCTCTCTCGCTTAAAATACAGCCAACACAACTAGGTGTTCAGGACCGAAGGATATACAAGCAATTTCCCCTCAGGTACTGACCACTTTCTCAAGTGTCTTGCTTGTGTGCTGATCCAGTCTTGGTCTGAAGTCTTGGATTTAGGAGTCTTGGATCGAACGCCGCTTGTTTGGAACGTGGACTAGAATAGTGTTTTCTGGGATAATTTCTCCTTGGTTTCCGTTATCTTCTTTTTCTCAAATCCTAGAAACTCCTTGGACAATTGGTACTCGTTAACCAACGCACGGTTAATTGGTTACACAATGCGGGATACAATGCTCAAAAAATCATGTTGATATCCGTTATCACTTTATTCGGGAAAACGTGACCCGAGATGCGATCGTAGTAAGGCATATCAACACGGAGAAGAAGTCAGCACATGATGACGAAGCCGTTAAAGACCAGATAACTCTAGCTTCTTCGAAATGCAAGTGGTGCACGATCCATGCCAAGTATGCATTAGCGGCGAGTGGGAGTGTTGAAGTTGCACTTACCATGATCACGCTACTAAATTGGAAAGGATAAGATTGGGGGTGTTATATGATGACGGGCTATTTGACGTCACCAAGAAGGGTTTAGAAGGATAGGCTTAGAGGTAGCTCAATGTAGCGAACTAAGTACCTAACTAAATATTTTCACTTCGCAATTACCTTCTACTGGACACACCACTCTAACAATATCCGTTATATTACATCTCATTACAAATTGATTTTTCTCACGTGAGGCTAGCAGTCCATTTGCACGTCGGACTCTTTCTTTTAGAAATTTCGAGTCCCGACATCCAGGTATTTATTAATATATACAATTACACCGGGTAATATGTATTTCGAACAATTGTATTGTATTACAATTGTAATGACTGTGTAAGAATTGATAATACTAATGACCGAATGGGATTTATGAGAAAAAAAGTACGATGTCATCGTAGGGAAGCCACGGTTCTATCAGTTTCAAAAATAGATTGGAAGTCGAACAAACTCCTCAGTGTGTCGTCCCAAAAAGAGGACAGTGAGAAAGAGACGAATGACAAAAACGCAAGCATGGATGGTTTACGGTAGTATTCGATGAAAACAACATTAAAGAATGTTTTGTCAGAGTTCAAAGATGTGTTTCCGGCCGAGATTCCAGACACAATGTAGCGTCAAATTTGCTTTAGTCATGAAACCTGGTGGAAATTCGCGGAACTCTGCACCATTTAGCATACAAGACGTTTTTGAGAAATCTGACTTTCACACCCAAGTTGACGCGATGGCTTGATTTCTTCAACCGATTTAACTTTACATTACAGCATAGAACAGGCAAATTGATTGTGGCGGCCGATGCCCTGTCAATGCCGCCAATGTATCCAGCACGTTTCAACACACATACACTGATTATTGCACGAATCACCGCTTGGAGTTATACGAGCATTGTAAGCGACATCACGTCAACGTCGCGGGCCATGTGAAGTTTACCTCAAAGAGACTTGGAGATACTGCTTGACACTCTTTTTTCCAGGGATGTGCATTGAGAATGAAAGCTTGTTGTTTCAGCGTCGCGTGATCAATCACACTAAACTTACGTCGTACAGCACGAATGGGAAGGATGCAAAATCTGAAAGGAAGGATTTACCGTGGATACAAGACAGATTCGATGATTGCAAAGAATATCAAAAGAATGACAGGCATTCAGCTTCAAAGATGGACTTTAAGAAAGAACAAGTTGAGAAATGGGGTATACCACCCGATCCAACTCGAAGAGTATCTCGCTAGCTCATGACTTGAGTACTGCAGCACATCCGGGTACAACTTCATGTCTTCAAGTTATTCGACCGGAAGACCATGGTCGATGACATAAAATTATACGTTTCGACATGCGAGACTTGCACTTTAAACAGGACAACCAGTTTGAAAGCCAACAAAATGATGGTACCAATCGCTACGCCAACAGAATGGTGACCCGCAATTTTTATGGACTGGATAACACCGTTACTTGTGTCAGGAATTAGGGATGCAATATGACCGTCATCGACATGTTGTCTAAACTAGCCAAATAAATGCCGACATCAACGACAGCAGATGCCTCCAAACAGCACAGGAATACAGTGGTCATGTAGCCTGGCACCATGGAAAGATCATAAGTGATTGAGATCCGAAATTTACTTCGATTTTTTGGAGAGAATTGACGGAAATCATGGGAATACAACAATCCATGAATACCGCGGATAGAGCACAGGTAGATAGCGCAACAAAACGCCACAACAGAACGCTGTAAAGGACTCACAACGCTGCCAAGTTCTATATCTTAAAGAAGATTGGGTCGATCAGTTAGCAACAAATGAATATACACACCATGGACTAGTACAGTCGTCTTTAGTACATACTCCATTTGAAATTGATACTGTAAGAAAATTATCGAAAATGTTGCTTGGCTTCATGATTGCCATTGCGTCCGGCACGAATTTCGTAGAACATCGCCAAGAGGTTATCAAAATGACACAAGCAAACATTGCAAAGGCTAATGTAATGATAGCATATTATGTTAAAAAGAGATCGGACTTAAAGCTCTATCTCGGAGCCTCGTGCTGCTTTTGAGCTTGAATGATTTGTACGAAAGGATACGGCTCAAAGATTGTTAGAGTCGTCTAAGCTCGCCAAGATTGCCAGGCAAAAGCCTGTACCGGCGATCACGAAATCAAAATGTGCCAAAATTTGCGCAGCAAAGTCAATTCGCATGTTTGGTTACGAGTTGCGTGTTTAAAGATAAAAACTTTTTTATCTAGATGGCTGTCGCTACTACTGGCGTAATGTTCATCACGACTCGGGGCTGAGCAAAAGGAGGAAGAAGAGTGGTGAATTGGATAGATGCTAGCCGTATGAGCGAGCAAAGTTAGTGGCATTGAATGGACCATAGAATCATCCAACCCTTGTCCATCCGCTGAACTGTAAGTCTCTTTTGTCTCGTTCACTTTCCGAGTTGACTTGAGCGTACCATCAAAGCCTTCCTTCCACCCATAATTTCTTTGTTCTCATGACGTTTTTGCCAATTTCTGGATGACAAATGAGTTGAGCATTGCACTCTCTTCCCGTTCAATTTTCCTTTTGTTTACGCAAGCTTAGTTTAGATTTTATTCGTTCTTTCTAACTCAACCTGGGCATTGCTGATCCCAAATTTTTTGACTTCTTCACTTCCGCTGTCTTCATTTCGAGTATATTCGCTCGCTTCACTATACTTCACACTACCGTTGTTGTCCTGCTTCACTCGATCTCGCATTGTGGTCGATCTGCTTCCCAGATTCGCTTCCCTAATTGTCGACTTGACTGCGTACATTGAGCAGCATAACGTCACGGTTTTCCACAGTCGTAGCACGTCATTCTTATCATTTCTTTGAAGATTGTTTCTTCGTCGACCATTTATGTTCCTCCATGCTTTCACCGTCCTGTCGCGGTAGGTTGGGGGTATTTCAGCATCTTTGCCCTCTCTGTCGATCTTGGTCTCGTATTTTTCTTTGCTTATCAAGCCCAATAAAAAGCTATGCGCACTTTGAAACTTCAGTGCTATCTGAATAGTCTCTGTCAAGGTATCACATATCTGGCACCGTACTTTTTTTCTTATACGTGCTGATAATCCTCGTTTAACCATCGTAATCTTTTCACGCTCTGACATTTGCTTCGAAACTCTTCAATGTAGTCCAACAAGTCTTCGCAATTCTTTGATTTTGAACAAAAAATTGGTTTTTCAATCGATCTTGCAAATATGCAGGCTTCAATTCTTGTATGATCTCTTGATCAAACTCCACCGGACATTTGACAACCTCCGGTTGACTGAACACGCACTTGGAACCATGCGACAGCAAGTCCTCTTAAATGTGCAGCCATCATTTCCAAGCATCTCTGCTTTATTTCTTGAATGGCATCGGGAGCAAAATTTTGTGCTCTAAAAAGATTTGACTTGATAGATGTACAAACCGACACTCTCTTCCATCTTTTCCATAATATTTTGGCGATGAGAGTTACTTTCATATCCGCTCTTCATCTTTATCCGCGGTCAGCGAGATACTGCCTCATCGCTTGGGTGTTTAACTGGTTTGCCTGGGCTACTATCAACGCTTGAAGCATGGTTTCAAGGCTCAGGGCGACCTGTTCACTTCAACAGGGACTAGTAACAGCCCTGATGCATCCACTAGTACACCAAGTGTTCTTCGTAAAAGAAAGCCACTCATTGCTCATCTTGCAGTGCACGCGGAAGTATCCCCTACCACGCTGGGTCTTACGATCTCTCTGGATTGTGGCGGCAGATCCCCTTTATGCATTAGCGACGAAATCGGTCCGAGACTGAAATGAGTCAGATCTTGGATTTGCTCTTTGACCTTCGTCGCCACGCCGCCTGGTTTTTAATACCCTCAGCAGCTCAAAATGATCGTGGCTTTTAAGTTATAGGCTGCAGTAGACGTTACTTTACCTGCAGGAGGGCTGCCGTATCTTAGCGCTTGAGGAAGGCCACCGATCTTTCGTTCTATACTTAGAACAAGTACGAGTTAATCCGCTTACTCCAAGAGTAATTATTGCCTTCCCAAGGCTAATTGACTCTTCGGTTTAAAATCCAAAACTGATATTTATTTATCATTTTTATTCTAATTTTAAATGTTAAGATCTTTCTAAATATTTAGTAAAATCTAAATACATGCATAACTACTGGCTACCTAGCCACATACCGTATTCTTGTTTGGGTGCAGTCACACCGTGCACATCTCGTGTGACACACACACCTGTTACCAGATTACGTGTAACCCCTTTACATACCTGCTAAAGAGATCATCAAGTCCAACTGACTCGTAAGAGCGGGGTCGCAGCTCGGCTTCATAAACTTCAAGCAAAAAACTGGGTGTGCTCACATTCGCTTTAGATTTTTGAAGTAAAAATCGATTTCTTTCGGCTCCGACCGAGGACACTTCAATGAATCGCAGACGTATTGGTCTTATAGACTGCGAAACTGCATGTATAGGCTGTTTCACTGCTTTCAAGAACACTTTTTTCCAAGTGTGTTTCCCGCCCCACCGCAAAACGCTCAGAACCATCGGGATGAAATTACATATTTAGCTACAAAGTGTAACCGGGTTGAGATCAAATGCCCTTCCCCGCCAAAACAAAAGCCACTCTATGGCAATGTTTAAGACACTCGGGAGTTTGTCAGATCCATCTATGTAGATGGCGATTGTACTTAAAGAAGCTGTGTGCCAATATAGACAAGAAAATACTTGCTTCGACAGCCTTTCCTAATCTGGGTTGCTTCATTTAGAATTATGACCTGCGAGTGGATCCCACAAAGGGTGGGACTATAGTAGATTGTTCAGTGCCGCTGGCCCAAAGCGGGCTTGAAAGGGAGGTTGGCCTCGCCGACTACTTGCTCGAGTGCATTGCCGACGCCTCAACCCTCTTTCTAATAATGTATCAAATGGTGACGTAGTGTGGTAGTTTGGAGTTTGGACCGGCCTGTAACTCTGCATCTTTTGCCATAGGCTAGATTTTACTTCAATTTGATTTGGTGATCCTGAAAGCGAAATTGCGTTTGAGTCTGCCAAACGTAAAGCGTTCAATTTAAACGACATGATTCATACCAAGGAACTACTTGCAATAATGTGTGCTCTCTTCGATCTGAAGGTGGATCTTCTTGGCTACCGTCAGTTTTGATCTATACAAATCGCGCATCGTTGTACACAGCGACGTCACCATATATTTTACAAATAATTTACAATATACTAATCTTTTTTCGAGTTAAACCCTCAAGATATTGTCGTAGTTGGGTCGGTGTAATGTTGTGATAGATGTGCTTCGCGCCACTCCATATGTGATTGATCATATGTGATACGATCATCATGCTGCTCAGACGCACCAGTTGTAGCGCTACTGAAAGATTTGAGATGCAAAGGAATTGGAATCCAGGATCGCATGTTTGCAGCGCTGATTCTTATCCCAAGGTTTCTTGTGACGGGTCACACGGCACCTTGCACAGAGGAAGCTTGACTTCCAAGAGTATACAAACTCTAAATGAACGGCAGTTCACAGATCCTTGGTCAGAGGAACGTTAACCAAATTTAGGTAGTTTTAAGACTGAATATATTTGTGTTCCTTAATGTTTTCCTATTACATGACTCTCAAGCCATGTACCCATCTAGTAGCTGTGGC